TGATTCCATTAATTGAAATGTCCCAAGATAACCGACTCCCACATAAAAAGCCCCATTCATTGGTACTTTAAAACTTCAATTTGTTGGAATTCGCAAGACTGAGCGTTTTATTTACTGAGGTTTATGGTCCGGTCTTTGTTGATTTCGTTGCCACATCTCCTCATTTCATACGTCTATTTCTACGTAAATACCAAAATACTAAAATTTGCTCAACTGAAAAATGGGCTCGGGTATTTAAACAAGTACGCCGGTACTTTAATTCCTCAAGGTATTTGTATACCTTTTCAAAAAGCAGGAGATTATTTCTCTCCGCTCCATAGGATTGTGTTCCTTGAATATACTGAGGTGGCAAAATAAAAGCAGCACCTTTGGATTCGAAAATGAGGAGGAGAAGAGGATGGCATTATTCCAAACACCTGTAAAGCAGACTAAAGAACTGTTGTACCCGTACTACCAGAGATAGTCTTTTTCAATGCCTAAAACAAACATACTACAGCATTACAAAATGGAACAAAGGTCCCTTCCAAGTTGTAAAATGTGAAATTTTAGAATCCTTGAATAATTCGGAGAAAACTGATTGAGCAGCAGTAAAAGGGTGGTTTAGATGTTGGTTTTCCCCTAGGCTTAAATACTTTTCCATCAGTAGTATATGGGGAGCACGAAATGACACATATTGGTGTGGAATCGTGCTTCTATTCTGGAAACCGTCTTCTCCTGATACTATCTTAATGGGTGTTTTTTTAATATTTTATCGTGCAAACTTTGTGCAGTTCAGTGTATGCATTCATTTTGAATGACTTTTTGTTATAACTACCTCGAGCACTTAAGGCTCCGCCATTGTACTTTTTGCTGGGCGGCATGGCCTTTAGACCGTGCCAGTAAATCCAACCATTCTGCACGCGGGCAACTCACCCTCTGCTTCAGCATTACGTCTTTTTTCTTCCTCAGGGAAGTCTCGGGGTGAGTAACCCACCCTAAAGGACAACAATCCTGATTTATATTACTTAATGCGGATAAAGGAATTTGTGACTACACCCAACAGAGAGATTGAATTTGACGCCTAACTTCGTCGACTCTAGTATTATACCTTCTTTCGTCTTCAAAGAATGTTTAGGGAGCAACACAAACACAGATAGCGAATAGGCACGCCGGCATATTGCTAACTCCTTATAAATTTAATTAGTTAGGGGAATTCAACTAGTCCTTTCGAAGTGTTTTTGCCTCGCAAGATACCCGTAACAATCGTTTGGTATGACTACCATATGCAGGGAATTAGCGGTGAGACTTATGTTATGTTAATGAGATGTACCGCTCAATGAAACATTCATTTTCAAGAGACTCTGGGTTCACGCTCCCTTTATCATTTTATTTGGATCTCTTAGGAGAATGAGCGACGAAGACAGCTAGAAAATCAAGACCTAGTTTATGGACGTGATCAATGACCTTTTGGAACTCATGAATAACACATGAAGAAGACGGCTAAGCGGAGGGAGAGAATAACAGCGGCTTTAATCAACAGTCTATTGCTGTGTTCTTGTGAATGCGCATTTACCAGCATCCGTGCTCAGAGAAGGATTAATTGATATCATTTTACCCATCAAAGTATTCTACTTGCATAAAACTTATGAACATGCTCAGGCAATAGGGTGAGGTGATGGTTAGCTGAAAGAGCCATTCCTAAAGTCGGAAGAAGCCTTAAGACTAGGACTACAAAAGGGCTGAGATGCTATTGGCATGGTCTAGAGTCCAAACAGCACAGCAAAAGTAGAATCATAGAGCCTTCAGTGGCCTTGAAACCAGAATAATGGGTTAAACAAACAATCAAGGCCTTACATTTAGACTCGAGTTCATTGCAAGTGTATGTGTAGCACCCACCATCCAATTAATCTAATACCCTTGAAATGGATTGGGTCACGGAAGGCTTGCATGGTGTCTTCCTCTGGTGTTCATGGTGCTTTTTTCTGCTATCTGCAGCTTAGGCACTTAATCACTAGGTAAAAAAGGATGCAGTGCATTTTGACCATTAATGGGAACAAGCAATATACTTCCTGTTTTATTCGGCTTGGAATGTCGTACACCAGCATGAAAATCTAGATTTATCCAGTGCGTTATTTCAATGCAGAGTCATCAACATCTGCAGGACCTTGCGGTCTTATGAAGATATAATTATGATAAACGGATTTTACTTTTTAAACTAGTCAAAAAACAAGCAACTTCGACTATCTGTCTGAGCCATTGTATCGTTTGTTTCGATGGATTCTACAAAAGATAGGATGTTGATACACTAACCGTATTGCCACTGAAGCTTTGAAGGGCACTTGGGAATTAATCGGACTTGTAAATACTGTAAAGGAAGGTTTCTGATACCACCAACTTGCGGAAATAAAATGACCACAAACACTTGGTTACAAATAAGCGACTAGGTGAGGTATTGTGCAAAACCGGTGGAGCTAATAGACTGGGATTGTGGAACAAGTTTTGGTTGAGATAATGTGCTGCCAATTCATTAAAAGACCCAAAAACTAAGCTCTACAAACATAAACATGGCAGAAAAAACCTTAGTTTTGCAGGTAAATAAAAAAACTCGTTTTTGTTCTAATAATTCGGTCATCCATTAAGTGTGCCACATCGCGTGGAGTGAGAGTCCATTTTTTATTCGGTCGGTTTCTTAGCATAGGTATTAAAACTATACAAAAACATGGGTTTTCATAAGGAAGTCCAGCGATAACTTTTACCTGCAGTCTTATGAATATACACTTTTCATGTTGTGGTTATAGTCAGGTAAACAGAGTGAAGTTTATAATAAAATCAGACGAAAATTCAACTAAATTTTGTAGGTGCATATAGCAAAATCTTTTATGCATTTTTTTACTAGAAGCTTTTCTTCCTTTTGTGAGGAATTGCCATGTCAAATGCATGTGACGTCCTACATTTCTTATCAGGGCTTGGAGTAGTAGACATGTGATAAGTCCTCCTGTAAGCTTGGCATGATTCGTTACAGCAAATCTCCTCGTTACCAGATCAGTTGAGCTTAAAACAATAAAATAGACAATTGATATTATGTCTTTTAAGCTGACTAGGCGACGATTAAATTGGTGGGTTTTAAAGTGCATATGCTGATGCCATAATGGAGGAGCAAGGCGCCTCGACTGTGGTATTCAACGTTCTTCTAAGTGCACCACAGAGCACGCATTAAAATTTGGACTGTCCGAATATCTCCTTAACTCCTGTTATGGGTAAAGAAGTGATTAGACTGGCAGTGACCAATATGTGTAAAGATTAAAAAGAACGTTTTGCAGATCTACGAAAACTCCTTGTGCGTGAATGAAATTAAGTCCCCATTCTCCATTTCAGCCTCCTAAGTTGGTTTTCAGATGCTGCTATTAGTAATAAGCAGCATTTCATACAGTCAACTAACTTTTTAGTGTTCAGGGAATTTATTTCACTTTTTTCTGTCCATTCCCATTATATCCAAAAAGATTTCAATCAAAGATCACACATTCCGTAAAAAGCTGATTGTTTAAATATTTCTTTTGGTCACGGGAGCACTCAGGGCTCGGCCATTGCACCTCCACCGAGTGGCCAGGTCTCCGAGCCACGCCATTAGCTCCCTCTCTAGCTCTACCTTACGTCGTTGATACATATTCTGCTCAAGTATTATACCCTCTTTCATCTTCATGGAAGTCCTCCGGCGCTACACATCCATTACCTTTTAGTGACAAGGTCTTGGGAATTGTCGCATTATTGTTTCTAGTATTTGAAACGGCACAATTTGCTTTCGAGTCACGTAATAGAAGCACATTTTGAATTAAGCTTTAATCAGATTTTTCTTCGCTCTGCAACCACCAAAATAATGGCTAAATAGAATTGTGCTACTTTTCTGCCGGGAATTTCATCTGCTAATTGTATTTGTGCTGATTTTCATATGCCACCTTAATCATTTGAATTTCATTTTAAGGTATTGAGTATCCAAGTCCCTCCCCTCTGTTTCCATTTTACAAATATGCAAATTAAATTCCTATAAAGTTTTAGTAGTCTAATTCTCCTCTGATTGTACTGTGATATTCCAATTAGTTTGGATTGTTTGTTTTTCTTTGCAAACTTAATTTTGTCAGTTTATTTTAGCAGCTTAAAGTTATTTTCCTAAAATACTAATTTACTTTAAAACGTGGTATAAGTTGTTTCAGCGCTCCCAGGTTTCCTGAAGGTTACAGTTGGGCATGACAACGTAGAAGGATGTTTCTCTACTAGCGTGCGGATGGGCTGAGGGACTATGAATGTGGCCAAATGTCCACCCCACCAAGGCTGTTGGCACAACTCACGGAAATTGAAGAGCACAAGTGTAAAACTAGACTTTGGACATTTGTGTACTGATAGTAGACTCCCATTTAAGGGAAGCTTGTGACTTGATTGTGAACTCGGCCTTGACCTCTAAATACCCTTTGTTTATTCATCCACCTTAAGGCCAAATTTTGCCTGTCTATACAGCACCCATGAGTCGTTATCATCTCCGCCATCTTAAAATTCGCGTTTTGCGGTTTCTCACACCAGTCAGTGCTTTGTTTGTCTGTTCTAACGTCAGTTTTGGAGCATCAATTCTTTACTTTAATCTTTTATGTAGCCCTAGATATCAATAGAGCTGTTAAAACGCCTTTACAATATTTCTCCAAAACTGTTTGGTGTAACCAGAGGTTTCGAAAATCCCTATTCACCCGCTTGAGAATCCTTAAGCTTACCTATTTTGGACTTGAGACTAATCAAATTGCTGTCTGCAGCACCGTTCGACTAGCGTATACCTAATTTGTTGAATTTTTTAACATGGAAGAATGCTTGGAAGAGGGGGATGGTGTTGTTTATAAGCCGAAAACTTCTACTGCTCATCCTCTGCCCTCCTCCTCCTCTCTTCTTCCCTCAATTATGATTTTAGCCTCCGTAGGGCCTTCTACTGCGTTGTTGAGTATATCTACACAAGCAAATAAGGAGGTTTTTAATTCAACGGTTTACGCGGCGAAGTCACTCACTGCAGAAAATTGCGGCCCAACTGCCGACGCACATATAGTGCGGCATTTCGGCCCGACCCCGTTTACCAAGGTGACAGACCAGAATTCTTCAGCGCGGTGCGCGGTGGGCTGTGAACCGAGTCTCTCCTGAACAAATGGGAAGAGCCTCTTCTTCTAAAAGAAGAGGAGCTTTTCTCTCCTTTTGCCTCGTGTACAGATGGCTTAAGTGGTGGATGTTGGGAAGTGCATGGATTTCAATACGGGTCAAGTGAATCAGTAGAATTAGATTACTTGAGGATTTTTGACGTGGAAAATGGGTTGTTAAGTCTTCCCCAAAACTGGCTAAATGCATTTTAATGGAGGATTATCGTAGGAGATATAAATATAAATTCCGCTTAAAGACCCAGCCTCTTGAATTCATCCAGTTCTTGAACATGACCGCTCTAAAAACTGCTTCAGCTCACCCCCGAGTAGATCATCAGGAGAGATTGAGATTGAATTAAGGGTGCAATTCAACAAAAAGCTGCATACTCATGCATAACGTGAATTTTACCAATTCATGGAAAAGACTTTGCGAGCAAATCCGGGAAAGCCGAGGACAGAAAAGTCCGTAATGACAATGCCGCGCAGATGTTTCAATCCGTCTAACCACTTTCCCACAACAGTGTTGGCAAGTCTGGCTAGTTTTTCCAGTCCGCTTGTGAAATTGAAGAGAATGTAGTCCAGGTTTGGGGAGAGGATACCTTGGAAGACGAAAAAGTAGACCGGTCTGCTTTTCTGCATCCAATCGCTGAAAATGACAGTAAATACATTGATGAACTGCTCGGAAGCATCAGTGTAGATTTACATGCTTAATTCCATAAGGCACACGTTTTGTGACTATTCACTTCTTCGACAACCACAGATAGGTTGGTAAGCATTGAATTATGCATGAGCTGTGTAGTGAAACCATTTCGGTGCTGGAACCGAGTGCTAGCAGCTCTCGAAAATCATACCATATGTACTTAACAACTTCGCCTTCATCTATGTTCAGTCCAGAAGGGTCGGACAAACATTTGGCGCAGCATCTTGACGAAGTGTAGTTGTGAGGAATTTTACCACTAGGTAATCGACAACTTACTGTGGAGATGGAGGAACTGCTTAGACCATGACAACTAGACTTCCAATCCACCAACCGGTTAAATGAATTATTTTTTATGGTAGGAACACTTCTTTCTTTTTGAAGTTTCATAAAAGTGTCTTTTAACAAATCTCATTCCTGTTTAGCGATCACAGAGACTTGCAGCACCGGATCAAGCTGTGTTTTCTCACCCTCAATCTAAAGTAATGATTATTCAAATTTTCAAGCCTCTCAAATTCCCTTGGTTCCATAAGGTGAAATTTTATTGTGGCTGAACAAATTCGGAACAAAAAGACACTAACTTGAAGCTCTTGGAAAGAAAAGTGTGCAACACTTTAGGATTCCTCGTATTAGGCCACGGTTGCCTAATAGCAGACCTTGGCCACTGCACTGAAATGTCGTCTTCAAGTTCGTCAAAACTCTTCGCATAGCCCAAAATGATGACCTGCTTTTTGAGTGACCACATTTCAGCCAGAGAAGGGATTTGACTCCCATAAGGCTCCACCATTTCTCCAAGCACCTAGTAACTTAAGTCCAGTGTCTGCAAGTGGGACTTACTTTTTTGATCAGGTCCTTGAATATCGACTTTAAAGATTCGTCCAATCCGTAGAAGTGCTGGAAGTCAATTATGGCCACTTCTTTAGGGTGGTGTTTTAGAAAGCTCTTAATTGTTTCCAACTCCTCGCTGACCCTGTTGGCATACTGCCCGTGGACAAGGAAGAAGCAGGGATAAATATCAATGGAGGAATTCGAGAGTAAGCCCACGCAGGATTGCCTCTTTATCGCGACTCGCATGTCGAAGTAACGAATTCCTGACTGGAGTTGAGTCGTGAAATTGGTTTTTTGAGTCACAGACCACTTGAAGTAGGGTATTTTAAAGAAGAGGCCGAGAACCTTGATTAGGGATTTATAATTCATATCAAGGGAGAGTGGAGAGGATTCCTGAATGCCGTAGCTCCCCGAATTGTGTGTTCCTAGGGAATAACGACAAAGAGATTAAATGTAGTATTATCTGCTTTGATATTTCTAAATAGGCCATACCAATAAGCGAGACCCATTCTGGCCTGATGTGATGACTCCCTCTGTCTTCATGAAAGACTCGGATGCTGAACATTTATATTTAGATTCATTAGGTGACTTTACATCGTGGGAGTCAGTTGCATTTCTGTCATATAATTGAGGAAATTTCAAATGAAACTAGTTCATGACTTAATCGTAAAAGAGATTATAAGGAGAAGTGGTTTGAGCTGATATTACCTTGAAATAAAGGCTTACCGGGTATAGCAATCTGGGAAAGCGGGACGTGAGTAGCCTTCTCGGGCAAGTGAGCCATCCAATCACTGGCGGGTACTTCATCCTGCTTGGGTAAATTGGCCGAGGTTTTCCCACATTTTGAGCAAATTAAGAATCAACGGTACATGTTGGTTGGTTTTCACCAGTTAAAATTAATGAGTCTGAGTTACATAGACATGAAACTGCTCGTATTTTGGTTGAAAAGATAGAACTAATCTCATTGTTGTACCAAAATTGAGGTGGCTAAATGTTTATGCAACATGTACCACTTTGTAATACTTTGATTAGTTGTTTAACTCATCGTTTTGACTTAAGGCGTAGGTAAGGCTCCTCCTTTGTACTTTGCTGAGCGGCATGGCCTAGCCCTTTTCGACGTTAGTAATGCATATTCTAACCTATTATTATGACCTCTTTCGTTTTTAGAGAAGTCTAGGGGCACTACAACTTATTAAGATTTGACAATACAATTTCATGAATTTATAGAAGTCCGCACCAGTCTTGAGTAATAAAACAGTATAATTCTTGTCAATTTAACTAGAAACGATTCAATCATGTTATAAACTCAGGAACTAAAAATGATGCGGAGGCTATTAACCATAATTCCCATTCGCATAAACACACTTGACATGAGAATTATCGCTTATTCGGTGTCAAACAGGAGGGTCGCTTACCTGTCTTCTGGGCTGTACTGGTCGTGGTATCACAGGCTAAATTTCATCTAATGTGAATTCGCTTAAAACCTACATTTAAAAAGAGGATGAGCTATGAAATGCAATTTTTAATGTGGCTGCTTACGAAGACGAATTGTGCTGGAGCCATGGATGGCGCATGTGATCTAGCGCTTTCGATAGTGAAGATTGTGCGTGTGTGTACGCTTGGGGTGAACAGACGTGTTTACTAATAGGCACGGGAATGGTGCTGAACGTGTCAATGAAAGCTGGTTTTTTGTCGTGACTTCGATATTACTTAAAGGGTATTTTATGACTTTTTGACTTTTCAACTCAAAATTGCTGTTACTTAGGCGGCAGCGATAACTTATGTCATGAAGGAATGAAAACTAGCGAGTGATTTTACTGACAGTGTGATATGGTTTGGGCTACTTAGTCCCCCTAAGTAGTGCTCCACTGGATGGTGTAGCCCTTTATTTATGCGTATATCTTCTCAACCTTTTTGTTGGGTCAGAATAGACGCTGAAGCTTACGGTGTAGAGGATGTCCTATTCAAGTCTTTTTAACCTGAACTCGAAAATGACAGGTGGTTAAGCCGATTATGTGATATCGGTGACAATATAATGACCTTAAATTACGTTCAGCTGGGTTTAACAGTGCTGGCATTCCATTGTTCCCAGATCGTACTTCTGCTCTGCAACATGATCTCCGGGCCATGCTGACAGCCTCCTAGAAGTAAAGTATTAATGACAAAGATGTGTCTGAACAAGGTTTGTTGTCAGTTTTAAGTTAGTTCATTATGTACAGCTGGCAACTTGGCTCCAGAAATAGCAACTACATTCATAATAAACAACCAAATCCCATGAATTTATAACAACGGGAATACATTACTACTTATTAATATATCAATGTCTTGGTATAATTCGACTCAAAACTCATTGATTTGGTGTTATCTTTTAAAACGTTTTATAACCACTAGCCTCAAAGGAGACGTGAAAATAAATGAACCCAGCAATTATCCATATAAACTTCGAAAGAATTAATCACATTTGAGGTATGGTCCTTTGCAATCATAATTACGTTTATAGCATGCATTGAAAGTACATCGATAAAAAGCACCAGCTGAGGATTAAAATTTTATTCTTAGATAAAGATGTGCATTAAACTTCCCTTCTTTCTGATATTTAGCAAAGAAGTAATTCTCATTGGTTTATGCCAGTCCCAGAAGACATTCATTAAGCAAAGGAATTTAATTTTTGAGATGCCAACAGGTAGGGACTGGAAAACAAGCGAAGCATTAAGGTTATAGCTTAATTACTGTCACATTATTGACCTAGAGCGCTCAAATAGGTCATGTGATATTAACCAATAAGATGCATGACTGAGTTTGTGCCTGGTTGCACGTCACTAAAGTAGCCTAGCAGTGTGCTAGATCCAGAAACAATGCTAGCCAAAACAAAATACTTTATTATAGGGAAAAACATTCTCTTTTCCCCACCGCTTGTCATCACTGTTTTGCCAATAGTTTGGGTATTGGATCTAGCACTTTGTGTATTCGTGTTACACAGTGTTGCATGTACAATATAGTATTTAAATAAGCCTTTTAGATACTGAAATTGACTGGGTCGCTTATATGCAACAGTCGGAAGTTTTCCTAAATGGGACACGTGATTATGACCAACTAATCGGCCGAACTGGGCCCTGTGTGTAAGGAAATAGGGTAACCTCTTAATCCTCCATTCTAGTTATCCCGCTGGGCATATTTACATCTATTCCCTTCTGTATTTTCTAACAGATCACGGCAAAAACATATTTGCAGCCCAGTGTCTATTCACAGGTCTTTATGCGATAACCATGGTCTTAGTTCTCAATATCTACCGGAAACTCAGAAAGGTAATTCAACTACTCGTACTTTCTCTCCTGTAGGTCCCCTTACTTCCTATCCTTATTTTGGCTTTTGCCTCGTATCGGGTGCATTCTATTTACTTGTTACGACTTTTCAATGATCCTTGGGCAATGTTTTTCCTTTACGCATCAGTAAACTGGTGCCTTTACGATCACTTCTCTTGCGCAGCTGTATTCTTCAGGTAGTTTTTGTGGTCCAGTTTTATTAGATATTATCTAATTCATGTGTTAATTATTTTTTTTGCTAAACGCAGCATGGCCGTTGGGGTGAAGATGAACATTTTGCTTTTTTCACCCGGTTTTCTCCTTGTTCTGCTCAAATACCGTGGTGTATATGAAACACTTGGGCACCTGGCTGAATGCGGTATTATCCAGGTAGTTATCTATTGCACTTGTCACCATAACGTCATCAATATAATTTGTTTTCAGGGTTAATACTACCCGAAAAACTGATAATGCTTCTGCTCTTTTCTAGGTTCTCTTGGGAGCAATCTTCTTCTTCCGCAATTCTGAAGCCTACTTCAGTCGCGCCTTTGATTTCAGTCGGCAGTTCATGTACAAATGGACAGTAAATTGGCGAGTCATTCCCGAAGCACTTTTTCTTGACCGACGATTTCACGCAGCCCTGCTGGTCATCCATCTTCTTTTGCTTTCATTCTTCCTCATGAAATTCAGTAGGTAGGATTTTTTAGTCCTTCATTTAAGACGCTCCTTTAGTTTAAAGTAAGGCCCTATTTCCAGCTATATTTTTCTCTTATTTCACTCTTCGATTTCTCATTTAGATCCTGTGGAGGATTTAAAACATTCTTGCAACCACTTCCACCTTCCCAAGAGCAAAAAATTATTGCTGAGGGTAGGTTGAATCTCCCTGAATTTGTTTATTTTGCCTTTGTGATACTGGTTTTGCTTCAAATTTGTTTTACTTTTAGATGTACTTTATCCGATGTTTGTTTCCAACTTCATTGGTATCGCATTTAGTCGTTCCTTGCATTACCAATTTTACGTTTGGTACTACCACTCCATTCCCTTTATCCTGTGGTCGGTGGCACTACTTTCGGATTCCGTGAGGTAAGCAGGGGGTGGATTTAGCTTCCATATTTCTATACTGTTTATCATATTAAGAGATTTTATTTCGGTGCACTAGAGAACTTATTTGATCATCACGGTCCAGTTCCTTTCATAATTCTGGCGTGACACTGAAATTTGCACTATTGCACAGACCAATCCAACCGTTGTAGCTATCCTTAAACCAAGGGGCTTCTTCATCTTTTTTGGTGCTCTAAAATCAACCAATCTGTTTGTAACACCGTGTGGTGCAATCGGTTCAGCTGAATTTATTAACAGCGCATACCACATTTTCGTAAAGCTAGGCTCAGCTATAAAACGGAGTTCCACGTATATATGACGCTAGTAGCGATTGTGTTAATCGCGGCATCATGAGCTGCTGAGCTGTATCCTTGTATCTAAGGCTCCTTATCTTCGGACTTATCGAGATGTCCTGGAATGTCTATCCATCCACGGTGTTGAGTAGTGCCACTCTACACGTCTGCCACGCGATCATCCTCCTCGGTCTCGCTCTCCAACCACTATGCAATGCCTCTGTGCCCACCGGACGGTTAAAAGGGCAAAAGACAAAGAAACAGTAGTTTGAGTTGCAGAAATTGTTAAAATAAATCATATTCGTTATTTTACGTGCTGTCTCTCTAATCTCTGTCTTATTAAGCGTAAAAGTTTCCGTTAAATTTAGTCGTAAGGGTAAACATGATGTGCAGTGGAGATAGACTGTGGGGAGCCATGCAGTTTAGTAGTGCTTAGTCCACTTCACTATGGGTATCCATTTATTGGCACATTCTGCTTCACTTCTCTGCGTATTTTCATTTCAGCCACATCTCGAAGATGATAGGTGTGGGGCTAACCTCCAAAGCAGTGGTATGGACTTACTGCTTAGAAGAGGTCAGCTTGGTGTGATCCTCAAGTAGTGGTGCAATTTCGATCGTTGAAACGCCCATCGAGGGGATTAACTATCAAATTAGCATTGAACATCCAGCAATTGGTGTTTCAATAGCCTATTCAAAATAAAACATCTCATTGCCTAACTTTGAGGTTGGGGGTCATTGTCCCTAACTTTTCGCCTGCAATACTTTTATTTTCCTGTCGTGATGCTACCTAGTCAGCTTCTCTTTGAAATCAGATTCTGTCCCATTAGTTTTGTTAATACTATCTTTTTAAAGTTGTTTTTCTACTGGTAAGAATAAGCATGCACAACAACAGGACGTAACAAAGGAGAATCTCTCAGCCTGCGTTTTACTGGGAAATGGGTTCCGACCTACCCTACTACCCTCGATATTTGATCCAAAGTGATAACAGAAACTTAGTCAATGACACGAATCAAGTCTTTTGCGTGGAAACACCGCTTGAGCTGAAGACAGAAAGTGGACTGTATTTTAGAGTCTGACACACTCGTTCA